TGTTAATTATCTATTGATTTAAGGTAAGTGGCTATTGTTCAGGATGAACAATACTAAGGAAGGGGCAGTGTTACGACAGCGGAAGTCACGTGACCCTAGTAACATGTCATGAGTTTCTAGAAGGATCATGACTTTTCTTGGCAACTCTAGTCTTTTCGAGGCGCCCTCTATTTTAGTATATAAGCCCGGCAAATAAAGCGGAGATATAATTGCAGATAGAGACAGATAATTGAGTCAAGTGAGCGGTAGTGACCGTAAGTAAACTGCGTGAGTCGTCGTGAATTATAGCGTGTGTTTATGTTAAAGTGACTGTGGAAATTAAAGATATTGCAAAGCTGTATTGAGAAAGAATAAACTAGTTTTATTTAAAAAAGAACTTGTATCGCTGAAGTTCTTCGGAAAAAATTTTTACGGGAAATTAACAAACGAACAGAGACATAACAATATATATATATCAAATGTTCAACTTCTAATGCACACGTGCCAGTATCACACATTCTAGATCATAGATGGCAGGCTTAGAGCCTAAACTTAAAGGCAAAGTTAAGATAAAATACTAAAGTTAGAGCTTAAATAAGTTTTTGACTATAGTCATTGTTCGTAGTATTCCAGTATGTTGGACTTTTTTACGATATTTAGTAAGAGTGGAATCGTATTATGGTGTTTTCATGGAACTTCACAGTTTTTTACATCATCAGTAAATGCTTTAATTCGAAGCGTATTGCTTCAGGTATGTAATTGGTTTGTTACTAATACTATTACCAAAAGTAAAACTACTAAAACCACCTAGAACTAGAAGTTAGACTTATAGTATAGTATTTATAATTTAGAAAGGATAAAACTGTGTTACTTAAGTGAAATTTGAAAGTTGAGGTTAGTGATAATCTAATTACATCACTCAAGTCGCTGAGTATTCTGAGTCTGACTCCAAAATGTTTTTCGCTATTAATGAGTGTTATTAAATTTAAAGTGTGAGAGTAAATCTAAGTATCATGTAATTTCTAGGACAACGCTTATCACTCTTTTACCCTTTAAATTGAAAATTGTTTAATTTATGAACTATGGTAGGTTAGAAATGAAGGTAGTGTTGGACAATGGGGGAATCAATTTCTAACTTGGAAGTTGGAATGTAAAACCGAAAAATTCATTATCAATGATTCAAGATATTTTACTTAAAGATAATGGGGTGGGGGTAAACAAAAAGCTTAGTGATTTTAGTGCCAAAAGTAATACTGGCTTCATGCATCCTAACCAGACATAATCCTAGATATGACCTCTTGATCTGGTCCACCATTTATATTAGTGTGCCTCAAATAAAGGTAGGAATTTCAAAATAGTCAAACTCTTTTTTTTTTTTCACACCTATGTATGTAATCAAGACCTAAGGACCTGTGCGTATGTTAGACTTCTTGGGTGAGTTTTCTACTACTAATACGAGATTCTTGAACATAATATTTTATTTGCTTTTGTCTGTATTTGCTCTTTCTTAAGAACTAGATAATGAACTTAACTAATATTAATGTCTGGTCAGAGCAAGCAACCAACTTTGAGCAAAACTAAAAATCAGCCTGCTAATGAATATAACCAACTAAATATATTTTTGTTACATTTTTACTTATAAAGATTTGAATGTATTGATTCATCAGTTGAATGCTTTTAACAATAATTTGGCCCAAATTCCAATAGTATCTCATGATGTTTGTACAACTTAGAAGATTTAGGCTAGTCCTAAATGCATATGTACAATAAAAACAATCACTGTAATAAAAGACAGGATTCTAAAGTAATTAAAATTAGATGTATTAAAAATTCTAATCTTTACTTTTAATGAAAGTAACAATAAAGAAATAATATAAAATACCTTACTTATGGAACCACAGTCCAAACAATCTGCAAAATTCTGTGTACATCACACTGCTTTTAAGTTATACCATTAGTGTAAAAACTGCTTACTCTGACTTTATTAAGATTTTTGTTTACACCCTTGCATTCAGTGTCAATAAAAGTTGCTCTCTGTAGGTTATTTCGTATGTTAATAGACTTAAGTGCTATTGTTCACACATTAGAAGTATATGTAAAATGGGTGAATTCAGGTATTTAGGTGGGATGAAGGATTTTGATATAATGGTGATTACTTAGGCTTTGGTTAACTGTATATAAATTATTGAACAGTGATAGGTTAAGGAGTGGGTTGGCAGTTATTTATACTAGGAAGTTAATTGCTTTGTAATTTAGTGCAAAACTTTCAACCATATTATGTCTTCTGCATTATGTATATAAACCAGAAACTTTTCATTAAAAGTATACAAAACAAAGACCATGGGCCATTTTTGTCTCTTTTTTTTTTTGTTAATAAACGAATGTGTTGAACATTTTTTATTGATTTCTTGGTTAAATGTCTGAGTTTAACTGAGAGAGAATAATTTGGGTGTGTTATGTAGCAGTTGGAGTGAATAATTTAGTTGAGATGTTTGATGATGTAGTTATGAGGGGGCCAGTAAGGATATTATTTTTATAGGACATGTTGTAGTTACAATGTAGGAAATATAAGGCCAGAGGAGCTTCTGGAAAAGTACAGAAATTAATACAGACATTTAAGTTTAGAGTCTTAGGTTGATTTTATCAGGTGTGTTGTTAAGGTTTAATTGTGTTGAAGAGGTTCTATGTTGGACTATAGGACTAAGTGATAGATTTAAATCTGTGTCATTTGGAGAAGGTTAGGTGGGTGAATTTATAGGATCTGTTTGTTGGAGAGAAAAAAATTCTGTGGAATTGTGGGTTCAAATTTTACTTATGAGGCTTTAAATTATTGTTATAGAGTGGTGAGTGAATAAATGCTGATTTGGGGAGTATATATAAAAAAAGCACAGTTTCTAGTATGTGCAGTGAAGATTGTATCTGTAAAGGTAGTTAGGTTGAGGGATGATGAGGTTCAGTTTAATAGGAATGATGGAGGAATACAGGGATGATGAGGTTAAGTTTGATAGGAATGATAGAGGAGTTCAGGGATGAAGTACAGTTTTAAGTGTTGTTATTTGTTTGTAAGAAGGACACAAAAGTAAAATTCATGAATTCAGGGCCTCAGTCCGGGCAAAGGAATTTGACATTATGAGGATTACCAAAACATGGAAATCTATGATGCTAGAAATAATTTTGAAATTTCTGGGTACAAGTTATTCAGTAATAGTAGATAATTTCAAAAAGGAGGGGTGGCTGTTTATATGAAGGTGCTAATTAAGTGGGAGTATAGTAAAAAGGTTAGTATGGATTTAGTTAGTGTGTTTACAGTGTATCTGTGAATATAAGAACTGGAGGTTAGTGTTAAATTGCTACAGACCACCAAATAAGGTCAAGAGGCTGCTGAGTTGTTTTATAGGAGAATTATAAATACTTTCATCTGGTTGTAGACAATTTTAACTTTAGAAATGTTAGATATTATTATATGTAGTTAGACAGTGAAGGTGATGGTTGTGTATGCTTCATGCAGCATGTTTCTTCACCAACTAGTTTGGAAAACAAAATAGAGGTATGACTATTTATGATTTAGTATTATTTGGTGATTGGATATTGCTCAAATGGTTGTGGTGTGGGAACATATGGGAGTCAGTGACCATTACATAATGAATTATACGTAGGTTTGAGGTTTTATTGTATGTGAATACAAAGTTTATTTTAGTTCCAAATCTTAAAACTGCTAACCTTGATGTTACAAGAAAATAACTATGTCAGGTAAATTGGAACAGTATTTTGACTAGGGAAGCTTCTTATAGCCTTGCTTAGATAACTCTTGGAAACATATCTGGATGTAACTATTATAAGCCTTCTAGACGTGTACTTTAACTGTTAATAAGTCAAACTGGACTGCAAGTTTTATACACAGAAATATTTAGTAGAAGTGGAAGAAGGTAACTGAATTACTCTAGAAAGTATTTTTCAGAACCTCACTGGGAATATTATAGTTGGTGCTGTGTTTAAGAAACAATGTTGATTTGTTTGAGAGGATTTGAAAAAAAGCTAGCAGAATGATTCCAGGGTTGGAGTGGTTAAATTGAAACCTCATTTCACAATATTTTGCTTGAGAGGAGGAGGATTTGGAGTAGGGGGGCAAGATTGAGTTTTTTTTTTTAAATTAAGATAATCTGGTATAACAAACTTGCTAAAATATATTTGACGTTATCAATTGGTATGCTAGGAAACTAAAATCTTAGTCAACACGCACATACTAACAACAATACAAGTAACATTCTTTTAAATTAAGATAATCTGGTATAACAAACTTGCTAAAATATATTTGACGTTATCAATTGGTATGCTAGGAAACTAAAATCTTAGTCAACACGCACATACTAACAACAATACAAGTAACATTCGTAAGTGTAGATATAACTAATAAGAAAATATTTTGGACATTAAAACTGTGTATAGCTTAAAATTACACACACCATATATTTTTCATCTAGAGATAACTTTTACACTTTTGCTACTTATAACTGACCAATTTCCCCATTATTTACTGTCTTGCCAGTTTTGTTTTCTTTACAGTCAGTTTTATGGGTCTTTGAACCATTATTTTTTGTAGGAGAGAAGTGGAATGCCCAGTTTTGAGCATGATGGACTCACTCTCGAATACAAACTGGATAATGAATTTGAGCTGGTTTTTGTGGTAACTATACATACATTGGTGTATTTATTTATTTGTGTGTGTATGTATATATATATAATTATCATAAAAGCATTTGTCATAAGTATACTTTTCTTACTTAGTCTGTTAAGGTTTGTATGTAATTTCCTTTTCAGCATATACATGTACTATAGAAATACTTATATGAGAAATAAGTGGATGGAAACAAGTTACTCATCATATTTAGGTCACCCATTTCAACAAATGTCACAACTGTGTGTAAGACATTGGAGTGTGTTAATTTCATGTTTATTATTTTCCTGGATGTTTTCAACCCAGGGCCTTTCGATTGCTCTATTCACTAGTATTTCTAGTAAGGCACTTTTTAACAATTAGAACTACCACAGATGGAACGAAGTTACTTATTTAGGTCACCCATTCTAACACACATCTCGACTATGGGCAGTCTTTTCATGAACTCTTTGAAACATCTTGAGTTAGAACAAGTATTCTACAATTTCCAGACCTTCATAATTTCCTAAAGCTGAGACTGTAAATATGGTAAGTTTGTGACAAGCAACTGTTTATTATTTATAGGAACGTTTGTCATACATCTTCTTTTGTAATTATGGCTAATGAGAACTGAACTATGCATTTATTTTGGGTTTAATTGAAGAGTCTTTGAGAGTTATTCTTAACCCTATATACATCTCGGTTATATGAACACTTTTTTTACATTAATTTACAGTTTTTATTTTAATCTTTGGCAGTTTTTCTGTTGTTGAAAGATTAGTAAACAGATATTGTTTAAATTTAACAATATCTTTTGTCATTGATTTTTATATTTTAAATTTCCTGTATGTGCAACTTCTCATATACTTTTGAGTTGTAAATCCATTCAAATCATTGAATCAAAGTTTCATTTAGATCATTCAAAGAAATACATTATTAGTTATCCATACCATTTCACAAAAAGTTCATGTAGTCCTCTGAAGAATTTTTCAAATGTGGCCACTTTTTCCCCTTGTTTACAGGTTGCCTACCAGAAAATCCTGCAATTGTCATATATTGACAAGTTTTTAGATGATGTTCATCTTGAATTTCGGGATAAATTTAAGGAGGACTTGGAAAACGGCCAATTTTTTTCAAATTTTGATTTTGGAAATGAGTTTGAAAAGGTATGTTTTATATATTTGTTTATTAGATAAATTTGGATTAATTGCAAGTTTGGTCAATTGTACAATGAAACTAAATTTTATTTGTTAACAGAACTATTAGTCACTATGCAGTATTTTATCACTTGAAGATAAAGTCTGCTCAGAATGTTTAATATTCACTCATAGATACCAGAAAAAAATGTTAGTATGAATATAAGATTGTAATAGTTTTGTCTCATTTCAAACTTTAAATATTATGAGGCTTATTTCTAATCTTTTTAGGCTCAAAAGCATTAGTTGATGCATTTAATCAGACATGAATAATGGGTAAACCCTGTGCAGAATAAAAAAAACTTTCACAAAAATAAGTTATGTTAAGGTACATAAATAAATGTGACATATCCTTGTCAATATTTTTTGTTTACTCTGTTGAAAACAACTTAAATGTTTATGTACAAATAAATGTATGGAGCTGTTATGAAGTTATTTGACCTATTTTGACAATCGCATCTAAAGAACTAGTTATTAGATATCTATGATATTCACTAGACGAACTAATGAAATGATAGGAAAGGTAGTTCCAGTGCTGAAAATAACTGTCCACTAGGGGGCATTGTTAGTACAATGTGCATACTGGAAACTGAATGAAACCAACATTTAGCATGGCAGGATTCATTGTGTCTTTAAAAATGGCTCCTAACCATTTAATCGATTGTAAGAACTACTCGTGTAAAGCTTTACTACAGCAACACTAGTACAGCATTAAGATCATATCAGCATGAAAGGAGTGATTGTATAGGATCATGCTGCAACGATGCTTATTGGATGCTGATAAGATGTTAAAAAGGATTGTGTACTAATCAGTGTGGAACATATTGACATTTCAAGAAAGAGAAGTTTGGAATGAAACAAACTCCATGCACGTTTAAGACATTTCAGAAGATACTTTTAGTAATTGAGTTATCAGTGGACATTTTCCATACACATATCCAAAATATTCTTCACTTATGACCTTTGTTGATTTCGGCTGTAAAGGTCATGTGAAGTTATATCATGAAGTGCCTGCTTCTTTAACAGACCAAGTGCAAGTGTTAAAAATTGGATAGTTTTGTTTAACTGTATATAATGTCATAGGAATGCAAGCAAAAGTAAATTGTGGTCATCAATTCTTCCTAGTGACGATCATTGCCTTCCCTATCATCTCATTAGGTTAAATACCAAACGTTATAGTTCGCTGATAATTGATTTTTGAGTTTTAAACGTTATAAAAAGCTGATTAATTTTATATTAACTGTGCATTCACATATTCAATATCATGTAATATAAATGGGGAATAACGAAATTTTAAACTGAGATTTTAGATATTATGTATAATAACAAAAAGTCTAACAGATTACTTTGAATATATATATATATATATTATTGTAGTTTGTAAACTTGTACAGTTATTAAGTTTGTCGCTATCTTCAAGAACTGGTGTGTTATAACTTTAATACAAACATGTAGGGCTGTGGAAGTCGTGGCTTTAAGTGACTGTATTGCTGCAGTTATAAAAATTAACAATGTAGAAATATGTCACTCACATGTTTGAATTAGATTTATAGTGTTTCTCTTTTTTTTTTCTGAGCAACCTTTTTATCTATGGATAATCAGTATGTTTCTACTATATTCTGTGTTACTAAAGATCTTAGCGTCTGCAGAAGAATATGGTCGCATAGTAACAAGTCAGCCAAAAAAGATGCGTACGTTTGAAGAATCACTGAAATCTAAGAAAACTGTAGCGTCCATGATAGAGAATAAGAAGGAACCAAAGCCTACTTCAAAAGGAAAGGAGAATAAAGAGTCACTGAAAGGAAAAAATGACAGTATGTAAAATTAACTTGTAAAATACCTAATATTTATATTTCGTTTTGAAATCAGTCAGTGAATTATTTTATAATGTCCAATTGAAAAATTACTGTTTACTTAGGTTAGTTAATATAACTTACACAATAGCATGGTGGTTTGATCTTTTCTTATTCTATTTCAATTCTGATAAATGTAAAATAAGTATCAAACACCTTCCAGTTAAGACGCTCGACTCGCAATCTGCGGGTCGCGGGTTCGCATCCCCATCCCACCAAACATGCTCGCCCTTTCAGCCGTGGGGGCGTTATAATGTGACGGTCAATCCCACTATTCGTTGGTAAAAGAGTAGCCCAAGAGTTGGCGGTGGGTGGTGATGACTAGCTGCCTTCCCTCTAGTCTTACACTGCTAAATTAGGGACGGCTAGCGCAGATAGCCCTCGTGTAGCTTTGCGCGAAATTCAAAACAAACAAACCTTCCAGTTACATGCAAAATGTTAAAACTTACTGGGAATTATTTTGGTTATATTTGGAGAGCTCCACAAATATGAGAACTGGAAACTTCAAGAGCTAAAATAAACTTCAAGGTTTGATTTTTTTTTACAGAATGGAAGAGACAAAATTGACATAGAATTTAAAAGCCCAGAATGGTCCCATGAAGGTTTTTGAAAATAGTATTAAAATAACCTTACACTCAAAAGCGATTTCTCACCTGAGTTTCATTTTTAGAATGTTGGTCATTTTGGATTCATGATGTAATAACGTGGTTTTATCCTATAATTAAAATCCATGAAAAAAAAATCTGCTTTTTGAAACTCTAAGTACACCAATTCCAATTGTAGGTAGCAAGTAATACCCCAGTGAAAGTTAAAAATTTAGTGAGGCTAGATTTACCTTCAATATCAATGTTGTATTTCTTTAATAATATCATATTTCACTAAATTATTTTGTGAAACTTCTTTTATCAAACTAGAATTTGTCCCATAAAATAATTAAGAAACTGGCCTAAAATTTCTAAGGTAACTTATTATCTCCTTTAAAAAATAGGAGTGACATTAGTAACTCTACAACCACCAGACACTTGCCCACTGTCTTTTGATCTAACACAAAACAAAAGGGCAATGCTTGTATATCTAATCTTTGACCTCCTTCTGAAACCTTGTCTGGTCCTTGTGTTTTATCCATTCTTAATCTCAAACTTTGTTTACAATCAAGGAACAAGGATTTAATATCTACATGAATCAATTACTTACAAGATCAATTCAAATATTTCCCACAGGCTCAAGAATATCTTTCTTGTGAAAACAAAAATGCTGAAAACATTGGTGCTACTATAGTGAGTGGTCTACAAAGATATTTACACTATAGCATGTGGTCTACACAGGTACTATCATCATCATCATCACCGTTTTAAGTTTCGTTTATTTGCAAATGGTGCCATTTATTATAAATAATAATTTTAAACTAATATAGTACAAAATACCATTACATAACGTTCTTGGGGCAAATATAATCAGAATGAAATATATTCCAACAATCAAAATTAGCACAATTGGAACACACAACTTATTAAATTATTTTTATTATATGCTGAAAAAAATGTGGATAGTTATAAATTATTTAGCAAGAAATTGTTTAATGAATCATTAAAGTGGTGATGATGATGATAGTTTCTGTGTAGACCGCATGCTATAGTAACACCAAAACATTTATGGTTTTAGATGCTATTTCATCATATTAGCATCTAATAATTACTAACAAAAGGTCATTACGAATGTTTCTTTGTTAACAGGGTTGTTAATTACCATCAGATATTTTAAAGATAATATTCGTTTCCTTCTGAATTAAATTATTTTGAAACAAATAAAATAAGTTTATACAATGAAGAATAAATGTTTAATTGCTCTGTTCTTACTTTCATAATACACTGAGCCCTCGCATAACGAAGCCATCAGATAATAAATTTCCGCTGAACGAATCACCTCCCATAGGCCCCATTGACTCATGCAACGAATATTTTTCACATAACAAATTGCACCAATTTCGGCCAATCAGAGTGCTTCTAACCAAACTTGGCAGTCCTCAACTAATCAGCGATGCCCATTTATGAGCATTTGGAGCCAGACTGTCTTTGTTTACATACTTTTTTGTGGCTGTGCAAAGAGCTCTCTTGTAGACTCTGTAATTTTATTGAATTTATCAATTTAAACGTGAATATATATATATATATATATATATATATATATATAGTGATCACAATGGCCCCTAAAGGTAATTCACAACAGTGTAAGAAGAGTAGGAATTGCATAACCCTTAAGATAAAGCAGGAAAATGTTGTGAAATCAGAAAAAGGGACAAAACAAGTATGCTTTCCATGGAGTATGGCTTGTCCCAATCAACAGTTTCCACCATGCTCCTAAATAAGGAGAAAATTAAAGCTACCAAAGTGAGTGATGCCTCAACCAGGGTCATTAAAGGAAGGGAAAGAATTGTAGAAATGGAAAGACTGCTGTTGCTTTGGATTTGTCATATGCACATGCGAGGTGAGTCCATGGATAGCAGTATGATTTGTGAGAAGGCTAAAACCAATTTTGATCACTTTAAACATGAATCAACTCAATCCTCTGGTTCAGTTTTGAAGATTTCCAGGTAAACAAGGGTGGGTTTGAAAAGTTCAAGCAGAGAAGTGAGATCCATTCTGTGGTTGGGCATGGTGAATCTTCCAGTGCAGATAAGGAGGCGGCAGAGAAGTGAGATCCATTCTGTGGTTGGGCATGGTGAATCTTCCAGTGCAGATAAGGAGGCGGCAGAGAAGTGAGATCCATTCTGTGGTTGGGCATGGTGAATCTTCCAGTGCAGATAAAAAGGTGGCAGAAAAATTCCAATTGGAATTTGCTGAATTAATGGAGGAGGAAGGCTATTTGTCCCAGCAAGTATTTAATGCAGATAAAACTGGGCTCTTTTGGAAAATGATGCCCTGGAGAACTTACGTCACCAAGGAAGAAAATGCTTTGCCACTCTATAAGCCCCAAAAAGATAGGCTTACCTTGTTGCTTGGGGCTAATGCATCAGGAGATTTCAGATTGAAACCCATGCATGTGTACCATTCTGAGAATCCAAGGGATATTTAAGCAACAAAAAGTCATCAGGGGTGGATTGGGGGTCTATTGGAAATCCAACCATAGGGCATGGGTGCCCAGGCAGTTGTTTTATGAATGGGCTTCTGAAGTTTTTTGCCCATCTTTGTAGAAGTACCTAATTAAGAACGAGATGGAAGTGGATGCTCTGTAATCTTGGACAATGGACCTGGCCATGACCCTGAACTTGCTTCCTCTTTGATAACCAAATTTCCTTTCATCGTAGTAAAGTTTCTGCCTCCTAACATCACATCTTTGATCCAGCCTATGGACCAGCAAATGATAGCCAATTTCAAGAGGCTTTACACCAAGACTGTTTTCCACAAGTGTTTTTCACATGAAGAGGGCCTAACATTGAAAGAATTTGGAAGACTCAATTTAGCATTCTGGAGGCTGTAATGACCATTGTCTTAGCATGGCAAGAAGTATCAGTACGCTGCTTGAATGCTGTATGGAGACCTCTTTCACCAGCAGTCCAGCAAGACTTTGAAGGATTTGAAGATGTTGCTTCTGTACAACAAGAAATTTTCTCACTTGGTGAATCTATGGGGCTAGAAGTGGACCAGAATGATGTGGAAGACCTTGTTAATCCTCATACTTGGCAGCTCACCACAAAGGACCTGCAAGAATTGGACAGCTTCACTGATTATGACAGTGGGGAGGAGGAACAAGGAGAAGAGGATGCCTTGACAACTGCACAGCTGAATGAACTTTTAAACTCTTGGGACACTGTCAAGAAATATGTCAGCAGACATCAATCCATAGAACAAACAGAGCTTCAAATCTGTAAGTTTGATGACAAAGTTGCATCCTACTTCAAGAAGTTGTTAATGAAGAAGGGAAAGGCAGCACAGCAATCAACTCTTGACAGCTTCTTTAGAAAGAAGCCAAGATTGGAGCCATCAACATCCAGCAACTTGGAAAATCCTTCTTCCTGCAGCACCCACAAACCCCAGAGGTAACAATGGAAGAACATTCTCCTACCAAAACTCCTCAATCACCCCCCACCCCACTAAGCCAGTCATCTTTTTAGCCTAAGGCAAGAATTATTTTACTGTATGAATATTTTTATGCTTTATTTATGGATTCTTCTATGGTTCAATTCTTTTCCATGTTCTTATAATGTTCATTTGTCAAATACATATTAATGTTTTAATTTTTTTAACTATGTTTTTAAGGTTCAAAAGGTGAACTTATGATAGTCTTGGAACAAATTAGGCCTTTAACATATATTTCCCATACTCACATAACGAAGGATTTCGTAGAACGAATTAAATTTGTTATGCGAGGGGACCACTGTACGTGTATTAAAAGATAACATACACAAAACTAAGGTATTGATATGAAATATGTACATTTTGACAGATGTGCTCTTCAGCATTTGTTGTTCTATACTTGGCTTAAGAAGCATAATGCTAGATAGAGCTAATAAACTGAACATCTGATTAGAAACAAAATTCCTTAAATGTCTTGGAACTTACTTATTTGTAATTTTATGTACTCTGAAAAAGAAATTTATGAGTGATTACTTCAAAACACTTGTAATTTGTTGAATTTGTATTTTGTTCAAAACAATGCACATTCTTTGTTTGTAGACAACAAAACAGCTCCAAAATCTTGTGTGAGAGCTACACAAAATGGATTCACTGAGAAGAACAGTGTTGTGTTAAATGGAGAAGTGGATTCTGAGATCATTATAAAAAACAGACAAAAGATGTTTGAAAAAATGCAAGGAAAACCAAAGAAGTCTGATAAAACGTAAGTAGTTATAAGGTAAAAAAGAATAATGATATAACTGCTGGTTAGCTTTCTCTATAAATGTACTCAAATTACTTTGACAAGGTTCCCTCCAAGTTACTAATTAAATTTGTAAAAAAATAAATGTATATATTAAGTAAAGTAAGTTGTAAAAATGAAAATCATGACTCATTCACCCTGTTAATTTGTTATCGTAACTAGGCTGGTAATACGTGTGCACCTAACTGTGAACTCATTTTATTATAGACAAATTATATTGTGTTTTTTTGTTAACTGTTTAATTTGTGGATATTCCTATTTTTTGTTTTAAAATAATGTTTGTGATATAATGAAAACTGTTTTAAACATGGACAGAACATGGGAGGGGGCAAAAAAAGGTCTGACTTGATTATTGTTAAGAAAAAGTGAAGGGGCCAACAACCTCGTATGGTTTTAAATTATTCTATGATACCCATGCTTAGTTTTTATCATGCTGTATAGCATTTATGGTCTTTGAATATACCTAAACCTTCAGTTGTCGTTGTATTATCCAAGGAGATAATTTAGGTACATTTAGAGTTAAAACTCTTAGGGTAAAAATGTACAAACACTAAGTTAGCATGCTATTTAGAATGTAATGTTGTCAGGTTAGCATGTTATATAAAATGTAATGTTGTCAGGTTAGCATGCTATTTAGAATGTAATGTTGTCAGGTTAGCATGCTATTTAGAATGTAATGTTGTCAGGTTAGTATGTTATTTAGAATGTAATGTTGTTAGGTTAGCATGCTATTTAGAATGTAATGTTGTCAGGTTAGCATGCTACTAACATGCTAACCTGACAACATTACATTTTATATAACATGCTAACCTGACAACATTACATTCTAAAGTTAGAGTGTAATGTTGTCAGGTTAGCATGTTATTTAGAGTGTAATGTTGGGACCACATGATTGTGTTTTTGGTAACAGTATTAGAACATTACCATATTTGCTGTCACATAATAAGTTAAATATAAATAAAATAAAGCATTCAAGAGGTGTGAATTAGCAGTCACAGTGACCAAAACAAAAGAAATTTGGCTTTGAATTTTCTGTGATCCACCAGTGTGTCATGCAGTCCATAACTAAAAGTTGGTTGCAACCCACTGGTGGGGCACATTGCAACGAATGTTTTAAAAAAGGGTTGGTAAAGAATACTTGTATTTCTTGAATTCCTAGCAATGCCAATTCCTAAAAATTACTCTGAGTAATTTAGTTCTGTAAAAAACTAACATCGTTCAAGTTATTTTCTTAGAATATTAAATATTATAAGTATATTCAACATCAAAATATACTCCAAAGGTATATGAACAGAAATTGTTCCAATAATGATCAATTCAAATATGTTTACCACTGTACAGAAAAAGCCCTTCATCCAAAGAAAATAAAACCAAGAAACCACGAGTGTGGGATAATAGTGGTACGTGTCGAGATGCCCAATTTTTAGACTTCAGTGAAGAACCTAAAATTAGACAAGAAGGGACTGGTTCTGAAGACTATTTGAATGAAGAGACTGTAAGTTTATAATTTTTTTAAATGTTCTGAATAATTAATACAAAATTTAGAGTAAAACAACTACAAAGTTTTCCAGGAATTGTTTAATAACTCATTGGATTTCTTTAACATAAAATTGAATAAAGTGTGGAAGATTTTATTATTACTTAAAAATTCCAGTCTCAACTGCAAGTCAGGTTTAACTTTTAAATTGTGTGTTTGTGGAAAGCTTTAGTCAAATTGAGTTTGCTATTTACTAGTCAAGATAATTGAGATGAAGGAGACCGAGTGGGCTGTACCTCTCGTTTTGCTTCCCTGTTAAACTAAAATACAAATATTTTACGTATTCTAATTGTTTTCATCCAGGTAGAAATTGATGGTGGTAATATATGTGTAGACTAGTATAGACATTGAGATGAAGGAGGCCGAGTGGGCTGTACCTCTCATTTTGCTTCCCTGTTAAACTAAAATACAAATATTTTACGTATTCTTATTGTTTTCATCCAGGTAGAAATTGATGGTGGTAATATATATGTGTGTGTAGACATGTTTATGTTTATTACACATTATTGTTTTGAGGATTTAACAGTTCTGAATTTTTTATAGCCATTCTTAGCATTTGAAATCAGAATACTAAATAGAAGCATAACAGATAATGGAAGTTCTTGGCTGGCTATTACTGGATTAGTTCTTGGCTGGTTATTACTGGATTAGTTCTTGGCTGGTTGTTACTGGATTATTTATGATCTTGCTACGTTTAGCAGTGCACAAGACTAAAAGGAAAAACTTAATATTTCCAGCGAGCTTGGGTGGGACAAATGAAAGGAGACATTAAGAGCATGGAATATTCAGAAAGCGAAGATGAACTGTCTGAAACAGAGGAAAAATTTCCGTCAAAATCTAGACAAAATGGGTGAGATATTTTTTGGTATCTTCATAATATGTGATAAATGATGACTTCAGGTGAAGTAAGAAATATGAATCCTTTTAATTCAACATAAGAATTAAATGAATAAATCACTGGTATATTTGTGTATGTATGTATGTGTGAATGAATGTAGCTTTTTTTTTTTTTTATAAGAATTTATATATTTTATAATTTTAAAGCAAGTTATCAAACCAAAGAATGACTATATGAAATCTTTGTATTTTATTAAATGTTAAAAGAAATTCTAAATTAAATAGGTACTCTCTAACTCAGTTTCACCCTTTATTTCTTTGCCATTTGTGATATTTATGGAATTTGGTGATATATTCTTACTGATTTGATATGTAAATAGCAACTCTTAAACTTACTCCTTTTGTTCTGGCAGAAAGTACTAATTGTAAGACCTAGGTTCTTATTGCACAGAACAACATTATCTTTATCCCAGATTTCTCGGAAAGTGATAACCCTTAGGATTCCATATTACTAAATGTTTTTATAAGCATTTAAGTCTGTCTTCTTCAGTCCCATAAACTTTAAATTTTGTCATTTTTATTTTTACATTTCAAGGAAAGAGAAGGGGTTTGGTATGTTCAACATGTTTCGAGGTCTTGTTGGATCAAAAAGCATTTCTCGTGAAGACATGGAACCAATCTTAGACAAGCTAAGAGATCACATGATTGGTAAGTTGTATGAAATCAGGATTTATTTGTCTTTTGCATAATATCTTAAAGCACAAGTGAATTTTTAGGTAGAATTATTGTAGTTATATGTATTAATGTTTTCAGTTTAAGTTTTAAAAAAGGTAAACGTAATGCTGTTGTCTGTTACTCTCTCTGTTTTATTGGCATAGCCATACCTATTGTTTCTTCAGAATTATATTCTTTTGAAAACTCTAGTACATTTCTTACTGAAGTGTTTCTTTGTGTTTAAATGTTTGATATTCTACCTAATGTTTTTTAAGGTTTACTTAAATTCTTACATTCTCAGAACCATAATAAAAACTTACATGGTGTACATGTACCAAAACTTATTATTATTTTAAGCATTCAAAATTGACAAGAGTCAATTGACGACTTTTTCTTACCAGTAGTACATTGCTATTAGAATTTGCACCTACCATAAAAAGCAATTGTACATGGATGTTATGTCATGGTCTAATCATATCTTCATGTTGTATGAATGTTATGTTGCGGTCTGATTGCATATTTTCATGCTATATGGAACAGTATGTTATGGTATAATAATATATTTTTATGTGAAACAAGCATTATGTAATGGTTGAATCGTGGTCTAGTTATATATTTTCCGTTACATGCTCTCTGGTGACTCAGAAGGTTTATAATGATAAAGTTAAGTTTCATGGTCTGCAGTGAGTACAGCACAGATGCTCAGCAACAAATAAATCAAGTTACACGAATGTTATTTAATATTCTAATTATATATTTTCAAGTTATTCTGTGAGGGGAAAAATATTGAACAAATCATTATTAGCTCCATATCAAAATGTATATCTGAAAATAAATGCTACTAAAGTGGATTAAATACTATTTGTTCTTTATAAGCATAAAAATTACTAAAAAAATCCATAAATTTATAAAATAGTTGTTAAGTACATTTTGAGATTTAAATATAGCTTTTTATAAAAAAGAGAAGGAATGTTAATTATTTTATTAAACTAAACCTTCTGAAATTATAAAATGGATGAAAAATTAAAACTTTGAATCAAAATAAAATCGTAAGATAAAAGTTAATTGTAATGAGAATTGAAACAAATCTTGTTTTTTGCGTTTAATTTCTTTTCTTTGTTTATCTGATAGCTAAGAATGTAGCCACTGATATTGCTGGAAAGCTATGTGAATCTGTAGCTTCTAGACTGGAGGGTAAAGTTTTGGGGACTTTTACTGGTGTTGCATCGACAGTAAAAGCAACTCTTGTTGATGCTCTTGTTCAGTTGCTATCACCTCGTCGACGGGTTGACATTTTACGAGATGTGATAGAAGCTCAACAACAGCAGAGGCCTTACGTCATGGTTTTTTGTGGTGTCAATGGAGTTGGAAAGTCAACTAATTTAGCAAAGGTAAAAAAAAAATATTAATAGGTTTCAACTATTTGCAGCTAAGTTCTTAAGTTATTTTCTCTGCTTTTATGCATGAATGCATATATTAGGAGTACCAGTCATGATATGGCACATAAAACAAAGGATGTATATATTTTTTGAACTTGATCTGAGCTTAACTGGATTGTCTTGCATACTTAACATGACACAAAGTGGCCTGAAACATGTAGCAGAACAACCATGCAATATTTAACAAAACATTTAGGGGCCTAAAGAAGTGGCCCGAAACATGTAGTAGAACAACCATGCAGTATTTAACAAAACATTTACGAGCCTAAAGAAGTGGCCCGAAACATGTAGTAGAACAACCATGCAGTATTTAACAAAACATTTAGGGGCCTAAAGAAGTGGCCCAAAACATGTAGTAGAACAACCATGCAGTACTTAACAAAACATTCAGTGGCCTAAGCTTGTAGCAGAACAATCATGCAGTATTTAACAAAACATTCAGTGGCCTAAGCTTGTAGC